TGTACAGATTTCGAGTTTGAATAATTTTTTGTTTTTCTCCTTAACATTTTATTGGGGAAATATCGACAGAGAGAAGTTGAAAAAGAAAGAAAAGAAAACGAGCCCTCCTGCTGCTGAGGTTCCCACTTAACACTGTGCTTTATTGTGAGTGAACGCTTCCCGTCCCCGAAACCCCGTCTTACCCCTCCCTGCGTTTCCCAGCACCTGGGAGGAGTCAGGACACGTCCTCCCAAAAAAGTCCGGCGAGCCTCTCGACGCGTTCGGTCTGTGTTTCCACCTGGCAGGTCCCTTCGCCCGCCGCCGCACACCCACCCCCGGTGTGCCTCTCGAGTCCCGACAACCGCGTGTCACCCCGCAGCCGAGCCCGTGACTCTTGCCGCCGCGGCTCTGCGCTGCCTGCGCGGCCCTAACCCTCCAGACGAAGCCCCGTGCGCGCCCGTGCCCCCAGCCGTCCACAGCTGCAGGCTCTGCTGAGTGTCCCGTGCCCGGACCGCTGCGGTGTTCATCCAGACCCTTGTCAGCTGACTTCGGGGCAGGACCGGCGTTTGCTATGACGCGCAGGGCTTCCGTGGACGTCGTCGGCAAGCCTGTGTGCGGACGAGTGTGTTCATTTCTCTCGAGCACATACCTGGGGGCGCGGTGGCTGGGTCACGGCGGGGGTGGTGACTGCAGTTTCATAAGGAGCTGCCGGACCTTGCGCCGCGCGTCTGCACCCCCGCCTCTGCTCGTGTGAGGAATTTTGGCTGCCCCCCCCGAGCTCTGCCTGCTGTCCTTTCCACCTGAACCACCCCAGTGGGTGAGTCTGATGAGCTCGGACACACGCACACACCTCGGTCCTCGGAGAGAGAAACGTCCGTGGCCGGGAGCGGCCGCGCCCGCCCTTTCTGCTCCCGGGCCACCCCTCCCGGCCACGCCAGCCCCGCCACCCGCGCAGCCCGGATGCCACGCGCGCTCTCCGTCCCGCTCGTTTCATTTAACTTCCGTTTTCCCGTTTTGAGGCGAGTGCCGAGGAGGGACGCACTGTACGGAATAACACAGAGGGGCCCTGCGTCCCCCGAGGCCATTTCCCCAAAGTTGACGTCTTACAGAAGGCCCTCACTGCCACCACTGACGTCTGGACACTGACATGGTCCGCGGACCTCAGCCACCACAGGGGCCACCGAGGACCCCGGGGTCACGACGGCCCCCCTGGGCAGCTGCTAATCTGCCGGCATGTCTGTGGGTTTCCGCGTGTTTTGAAGTTTGCCCGCATTGTCCTGGGCGTCACTGAATCCCGCTTCCGGCCAGGTTCCGGCCTCTGGCTGGGACCCGTGGTGTGGATTCCTTCACCCGTCGGTGGCCGCTGTGGCTCTTTGGGGGCCTTCTGGCGCGACAAGTGTGCCGCGGCGATGTCCGGGGATGTCTGTGCACACGTGAGTTTCGAGTCCTCTCGGGTGAGCTCACGGGGCCACGACTGCCGGGGCTCTAAGCTCACGCCGGCTCGTGCGCCGTCCCCTCCGCCTCACACGGTCGCCGACGTGCTGTTCGCTTTTCCACTTGGAAGCGCTCTGGAGGGCGTGGAGCGACCTCTCCTGCGTGCGCCTTCCGTCTCTCAGGCGGGCCCTGTCGCTCCTTCCGTGTGGGTGTCGCTGTTCCCGCGTCTTTCTTCGTCAGGGTCTGACCGGGTGGCTTGTGCTGGTGGCGTAGCCGTGTCCACGCTCTGCTGTCCCGTCCATTCGCGCGCTCACCCCGCGTCTCCGGCCGGGTGGGGCGTTCCCGGGCGTTCTGATCGCCAGGCCCTTGGCAGGGCTGTGACTTGCAGACTCTTCCGGTCCTGGCCTCACGTGCTCATGTAATGTGGTTTCTGGAGGAGCTTCCCGTGTACACGCCGATGAAGCCCAACTTGCGAGCTCTTTTCTTTCCTGGCTCCTGTGTTTTGTGTCCCATCCCGGCACTCCCCGCCGCGGTCTTCCCGGAAGCGTCACGGGTTTGGGTGTGACGCGTAGGTCTGTGGTTCACGCTGATTTCTGTGTGCACATGTTCTGGTACTGTTTGCCCGAAACCTGACTTTTACCCATTGAATCACCTTGCTGACCACATAGTTAGCAAGGCAATCAATTCATTTATCTATTTATTCAATTATATGTATATATATTTCAACTAAGGAGGATTTATGGAATGATGTGGAAGCTTTTCGATAGTTAAGAAAGTGAGGAAACTTGATTTGAACTTCGATAAAGAAACATGGCATCTTAGACACAGAGAATACATTCTACACGCATAAAGTGAGAAAGTCAAAGTTGGGTGAAATGCGTACTTCATCTTTCTGAATTGGGTTATGCCCCATTTGGGTCTGATCTGGCCGGGAAGCACCTGGTGGGGACGGGGACGTGTGCCCCCGCAGTGCACACTCTCCAAAAGCTTCCGTGTGTTCTTTGCACAGTGCACACACCGGGCACCTGTTTGGCGGACAAGGCTGAGCAGGCTCAGGCTGAGCAGGGTCAGGGTCAGGCTATGACTTCCATGCAGACGTTTTCAAATACACCTCGTGGGCACTTTAAAGAATCGTGAAGAGTGGAGATTTGGGGAAACATGAGAAATGGGGTGCCCCAAGGACACTCTGGTTGTGAGGTCAGCGCCCTCCCCCCTGCCTTCCTCTGGCCCCTGGCGGCCTCCCTCCATGGACAGTGCCGTCCCCCAGACCCTGGCGCTCACATGGCCGGAACAGAGCCTTTCCTGTCCCAAATCTGCTCGCACCCCGCTTTGCCGCTAACACGGCCTGACTAGTTTGAGCGTTTAAAAAATTTTCCTTATTTTAATTATAATCTCTTTTCTGCTTTTCAACCAAAGATTGTGAGCTAAATTTTCAAGTGTTATGATGTATCATTTAGGATGTGAGAAATCACGTCGTAATGTGTCACAGGACGTGAGAAAAAACACCGTAATCACCTCCGGAGTGAAATCTGTATGTTTATGTTGACAGTTAGACGTCGGTATTGTTGACTCTGTCTGTCTCATGTATCACATGGAGGTCGCATCGGCAGGAGCCCGAGCGCCTTGCCCTTGCCCCCGTGCCTGGCGTGTGGTTTTTTCTGGCTGCCACATACATGTGTGACCGCTCTCACGCGGTGTCCCTTTCTCTCAGGGGCAGGGTCTTCCTGTCCAGAGGAAGTACGGCCTGTGTGCACATGTGTGTGCAAGTGGTGTGTGCCGCGAGCAGCCGTGCTGGCCTGTGCACAGCCTGTGCACACATATGTATATGAGCGAGCGCATGTGAGCCTGAACACAAGTGTGCGGTGCACGTCTGACGCACAAGTGAGTGTTTGGAATTCAGCCCATTCTTCAGACGTGGGATTGGATACTTTTGTAAACATAGGAGAGGCTCGGGCAGGCGGCCTCCTGGACAGAACCTCCCGCACACGCGAGGCTTGGCCCGAGGCTGGGACTCGGATTCGAAGGGTGGTTTGTGTGAGGGAGGCACAGGGTTGCCTGGACGTCTGTCCGGGACGCTGCTGTGCAATTCATAAGAAGGGTGAGCAGCCTTTGCAGGAGCTGCCTGGGCCTTGGGTTCCGTCCACGTGGTAGCAAGGCCACACTCACTCCTTCCCACGCGAGTGAGAGTCCCCGGCGAGGACGGACCACCCTGCTTGCTCGCTGTCCTCCGACATTGGGGTTGTTCCTCTTCCTGGTGTGGATACGCCGTGTGTTCGCCGTTCTTGGGCACGAACGCCTCTGAGGGGGACGGTGGTCACTGTGTCTGGTCTCTCGAGGACGCGTCACCCTGTCCCCCGCAGCTGCACCCCTGGACGTTCTACCAACAATAGAGGAGGTTTCAGCGCCTTTATGTCCTTATCAGGACGCCACAAGACGCCCTTGTGAGCGTCTGCCTGGTCCAGTGGATTCTGGCCACGCTGGTGGGTGTGAAGTGGCCTCTCACGGGTTCGAGGAGCGTGTCCTTGATGGCTGATGGTGTCGGACATGGCTCACTGGTCATTTCTGTGTCTTCTCTGAATGAGTATCTCTCAGGTCCTTTGCCCATTTTAAAGCCAGGTTATTTTTCTTTTTAGTGAGTTGTGAGTGTTCTTTATATATTCCGAATAGGATTTCATATCGGATGTATGATTTGCGGATATTTTTATGGGCGGTCTTCTCTCTCCTTTCCTTTCCTTTCCCTCTCCTTTCCGTCCCTTCCTCCCTTCTCTTCTCCCTCCTCCCTTCTTTCCTCCACACTCCCTCCCCGCTCTCTCCCCCTCCCCCCTTCCTTCTTCCTCTCTCCTTCATTTTTTTAAAAAGATTTTATTTATTTATTTGACAGAAAGAGACACAGCGAGAGAGGGAACCCAAGCAGAAGGAGGGGGAGAAGCAGGGTTCCCACCGAGCAGGGAGCCCGATGTAGGGCTCGATCCCAGGACCTTGAGATCATGACCCAAGCCAAAGGCAGACACTTAACAACTGAGCCACCCAGGTGCCCCTCTTCCCTTCATTGTAAGTGAGCTCCACACCCAGTGCTGAGCCCAGGACCCTGAGGTCTCGTGTCCCCCATGGCCCGACTGAGCCTGTCTTCTTCTCCTCGTCTTGAGCGGGCCTTTGAGGCAGAGACGTGTTTCCTTTCCACCAAGCTTATCTCTTGTGGGGCCGGTGGTTTCGGCGTCCTGTCTGAGAGCCCACTGCCCAAGCTGAGAGCGGGCAGACTTTCTAAGAGTTTTGTAGGTTTAGCTCTTCTCTTTGGTCGTTGATCCATTTTGAGTCAGGCTTCTCCGAGGGATAGAAGTCCCGCGGGCGCTGTGCCTCTGGCTCTCAGCCCAGAGCAGAGATCTGAGCAGGTCCTCGTCCTCCTGTGGGGGGAGGGCGCCCCCATCATGCTGAGTGGAGCCCCCACCGGAGGCCGTCCCGGGGCAGGGGAGGGGCGTCGGTGGGCAGGACGGGACACCGGGTGGTCAGGAGGCTCGTCACCTCAGCTGCTCCTAGATGAGGTTTCCCCATGGAGGGTCCGAGAATGACCTGCTGCTTTCCCCCCACAGATGCGGACTTGACGGTCACGGAAGCCAGCGGCACGGACAGCCGCGGGGAGAGGGCTGAGCTCTTCAGCCACATGGACGAGGGTCTCCTGGGAGGAGAAGCCAGCTACCTGGGCCCGCCCCTGACCCCGGAGAAAGAGGAAGCCCTGCACCAGGCCACCGCGGTGGCCAACCTGCGGGCAGCACTCATGAGCAAGAACAGCCTGCTGTCCCTCAAGGCCGACGTGCTTGGGGACGACAGCTCCCTGCTGCTGGACTACCTGCCCAAAGGCACCCACTCCCTGTCCCGTAAGTGCTTGGGGAGCAGCGGGAGCGGCGGGGGCTGGTGGGGGGGTCTGTGGGGAGCCAGACCAGGGCAGGAGGTGGCAGGTGGCTCATGGGGGCTGGCGGCTGACGTGTGGCTCGCACAGTGAGTGCTTAAGGCACTCGCCCGAAATCAGGCATCTGAACCGGAAACCTCGTCAAGCTCAGGCATGCAGGGCACAAGAGTCGGGAAGGAGGGACAGGGCCTCTGTGCGAAGGGACAGGCGCGGGCTCCCTCTGCTGGCCCTCGCCCGCCTCCGCGCCCGTCACCACCCCCCCACCCCGCTGCGGGAGCGAGGGGCGCGTCCTTGCTTTGTCTGCACGGGCTCCTGCCGCCACCAGCCCCTGTCTCCGGCGGAGTCTCGCCTGGCTCCCGGCCAACCCCGGTTTGCGGGAGCCGATGACAGACTGACTGAGAAGCGGCCAGAGGTACAAGCAGCCGCCCAGCGCCCCCCACCCCGGCTTTCTGCCCCTCACGACACACAAGGGCATTGGAGGGCCCGGGAGCCCGCAGGGCCCCAGCTGAGCGCAGGCCGGACGCTCTGAAGACCTCGCCCGGCTCGCGCCTGGACCGCCATCCCCGGAGACGCGCGCTGTTCGCTGGCTGCTCCCCGCGGGCGCTGGAGGGAGCGAGGCGCCAGGGCCCCGCGGGTGCGAGCGTGCGGTCGCGGCAGCCGCTGTGGCCGCGGTGGTACCCTGACCCCCACTGGAGGAAGCGAGGCTCCCGTGCTACAGGCTTCGAAGGGCTTCTCTGCTTTCGTCTCACTCTGATTAAAGACAACAACGGCAGTTTTCTTGCAAGTGTATTTCCATGAGCACTGCGAGCCCCTAAATTTCAGTGTCGGAGTGACACAGTTTGCTCGTGGCTAGTAGAGACACGGGTGGGACCAGTGCTTCTGTTCCTTCATTTCCTGCACGTCCTCAAGAGCCCGGCCGCGGCCCGAGCAGCCTGGACGCCGTGCGCAGTTCCCAGGGCTCAGCTGTGAAGTCAGGCCCCACGCGGAGCACCTCGCGGACGGGCTGCCCGGCTCGGGCCTTCAGAGATGTGTTGGGGCCGCGTTGCCCCAGCTGAACAATGCATCCCGCAGCTGTTGGGGGTTTAGGACAAACTGGTGTCTGTGAACCCTCGAACGCTTGTCCCCAAGTGCTGGTTCTGCCCCCACCGCCTGCCGCCACTGAGCTTGTGCCACCAGCCAGCCGGGGCTAATGGGCTGCCGTGAACCCGGGGCTCTGGGGGGCTGGCAGGCAGCTTCTGTGCTCTCCTGCGGGGTGCCCGTATGGACACCACTGGGAATTTGTGGCTGTGTGGAGAGGCGGGGGCCCGCTTGTTCAGTCCCCCATAACACGCCGAACGCACGTGGGAGCACCATGCATCACGGGCTGCGGGATAGACCGGTGCCCACCTCTGCCGTCAAGGGTGACTTTGGGATGAAGGGTGATTTTCTTTTCTTTTCTTTTTTTTTTTTAATATTCTATTTATTCATTTGACAGAGATCACAAGTAGGCAGAGAGGCAGGCAGAGAGAGAGGAAGAGAAGCAGGCTTCCTGCCAAGCAGAGAGCCCGATGTGGGGCTCGATCCCAGGACCCTGGGATCATGACCTGAGCCGAAGGCAGAGGCTTAACCCACTGAGCCACCCAGGCGCCCCTGAAGGGTGATTTTCAATGCTTTTCACTTGTCTTCTGGTCTGCTGGCCTTTGCCTTCCATGTGGGCTGGTGCGAAAGGCCTGTGGTGCATCTGTGCTGGGAACTATGCCAGACCCGGTCTGGACCCCGGGCACCCTCGCTGGACCGCTCTGTCTGGGCCCGGCCCTCCCCAGGCCCCCTGGCCCCCCTGCAGCAGGTCCCACACCTCAGTGAAGTCCCTGGGCACAGATCTCCTGGATGGGCTTTTGTCCGTGAGCTCCCTCCTCGCATGTGGGTCACCCGGCACGATGAATACATCTCGACACGGGGCTGAACCCCAGCGCCTACCCCGGGCATGCTGTGGAAGCGTGATTGCCAGACTCTTCCGCGTTTGGAGGGAGCAGGGAGAGCCTTCTCGTTTATTTTTAGTGCGTCTGTGACTAATTCCTCGTGAAGTCACCTGGTGGGTTTTGGTATTTTGTTATTTCTGTTATGTTTTAATCTCCTTGCTTTTTTTTTTTTCCCAAGATTTTATTTATTTATTTGACAGAGAGAGAGCACGAGAGGGAACACAAGCAGGGGAGAGGCAGAGGGAGAGAGAGAAGCAGGCGTCTGGCTGAGTAGGGAGCCTGGTGCGGGGCTCAATCCTAGGACCCCAGAATCATGACCTGAGCCAAAGGCAGACGCTTAATGACTGAGCCACCTAGGCACCCCTTAATCTCCTTGCTTTTAATATTCTAACTTCCCCCATTTTTTTTGGTAAGAACCTACCAGAGGCAGAGGGACTGGAGAACTTGGTGAGAAAATGGGTTATTTTAAAATATTATTTTCTGACATCCTAAGTCAGTTCTGTCTGTTTCCAGGTATATACTAAAACGAGGAATGAAGATACCCAGATAAAAACTTTGTTTCCCCAAACGTTGTGGTCAGCCTGCATCGTGGCTAGCCCCCATCCCTGGTGGGCAGCCTGGCAGAGTCAGCAGACAGAGGCTATGGTTGAAACGTGGCTGTGGCAGCCTTTCTGGGCACCTGGTTTGGAGACGTGTGTCCCTGCGAAGGGCACCAGGATTAGCTGCATGGCCCGAGCCACCGCTATGTGCCGCGAGATTGCGAGAGGGAGCCGAGGCAACTTCGTTTGCTGTCCGTCTGTCTGTCTGCCCCATGCTGCCTGTTTACAGGTGCAGTTTCTCTAGGCGTTCATGGCGAAGTGTCAGGACGGGCAGAAGCCCGTGTCGGTCGCCCCTCCGCCACCGCTGCTGGTTTCCGGGCGCGCCCTCGCCTGCAGGAGCAAGTGTCCCCTGAGCATGGTGTGGCAGCGACGTGGTCACATGTTTCTGCCCTCGCTGCCCACCAAGGGCTCACCCGCTTTGTTGGGATGGGGCCCCTCGTGCTCGTGCTCCACCGCCGGCTTGCCCAAGCCCCCCGGGCACCCTGCGCAGCGGCTGGCATTGCCGGCCCATGGACGGGAGACTGTGTGTGTGTGTGGGAGGGCTCCACGGCACATCTGAAAAGGCGCTGAGAGCAAGCCGGCAAGGTCACCATGGCCACCAAGCGTCCCACCGAGTGCGGACGCCCCAGGCTCCAACAGCAGGGGGCCGGCCCTCTGCTCAGGCGGGCACAGGGGCCTCTGTGTTCCCTCCGCAGTGGCTTGGGAAGGAGGTGGGGCCTGTGCGGTGCTGTCGGGCATCCCTAGACCCCGGGGGTGAGGGTGGGCAGTGCCAGGCAGCTGGACTTGGTCCCCCAGCTGCAGGTGCCTTGAGCTGGTTGTTAATGCTGGATGTTGGGTCCACATCTCAGCAGGCATGGGCTCGTCATTGGAAAAACGGGGGCCAGGTGTGATGTTTAACGGGAAGCAGCCCCAGCCCAGGAGGCGCTGTGTGGGGCTCCCAAGGCCCCTGGCGATTCTGTCTGGTCTTCCCAAGAGGGGGAGCGCTGTGGGCCACAAACATGGTCTGCTCGCGGCGGTTTTGCACAAGAACAGGATGATGGTTCCAGGTGTTTAAAGTCAGGGGACCCTTAAATGTGCAGGCAGTGCTGGAGCTGTGACGAGCCACCAGGACCCACCTCTCGGGACAGTCTGGAACCTTCCAGGGAAGGTCTCGGGGGTCTGATCACAGGGGCTTGGCTGTTGGCTTCAGCAGATGGTTTCTTTCTAGACCTGCGGCCTTTACCTGGTTAAAGAACCTTGCATGCTTTCTGTGTGAACTGAACTTGATTCTCTTACTTCCATTACGTGTTCAGTGGTAGGCGAGCCCCTGCCTGTTCAGAGTCACCGTTTATGGACTAGAAACTGTGAGAAACTCTGACTGGCTGAGGCGCGGTTCTGGGTTACAAGTTGTATTTGTGAGCGAGCCGGGGTCTGGGGGGCCTGGACTTGGGCGTCGCCTTCTCGGACCCGGCGGAACGTCTGGCACCCATGGGTTGCTGCTTGATTTCCTGGAACCGCTGGAGGGAAGGAGGCCAGCTCGACGTGGGTCCGGGAGGATGAGTGTCTCGTAAAGCTGCCACGTCCTTCCAACAGCTGAGGTGACTCCGACCTGAGAAGCGTCGTCCCTGGTGATTGTCGCCGTTTGACTGGTAGATGCTGCTTCTGAGAAAGAGCTTGGGGTCTCCCCCTCCGAGTTAGAGCTGGTGCTGACCCGTCTGAGTGGAAGGATGGGCCAAGTTCCCTCCTGCTCCTCCAGGGAGGGGACACCGGAAAGGTCCTGGGGGAGCAGCGGTGGGGGCTCCCTGCACAGGACCAGGGGCTGCCACCAGGCCGTGCCGTCCCTTCCCAACCCTTGTGTCCACGGGCTGCCCAGATGTCCAGGAGCACTTTGCGGGCCACTGCCGAGCTGGTTTCTGTCCTGGCTGTGGCTTAGAGAGGAGTCCTCACCGGGTATGAAACAGGAGCCAAGGACCTGTCCTTGATTCTGAATCGACGCTGGAATTTTGGACGATGCCACTAGCTTCTAGGTAGATGGCCAGCGCAACACACCTTGGAGTGGTTTCCAGAAGATGGCTTCTCCAGGCCGCAGTGTGCGTGTGCCTGTGTTCTGCCCGCGTGTGCTGACTTCCTGGGGTGCAACCCTCTGTCGTAATCATTTCGCTTCTGGGAGAGAGACTCCACCCCAAGCAAGCCGCGTGCGGAGACCCTGCTGTCGGGGTTGCTGAGCTGATAGAAACGCCCAGACGGACACCCAGACGGACGCCCAGCAAGACCCAGAGCGCTCCGTGCGCGCAACAGCAAGACCGTGCGGCCGCTTCTGGGACTCGGGAGCAAGCCCACCGGCGGCGTGCGCTCACGCGCTGAGACTCTCTTCCTGTGTTCCCAGGGCCTGGCACCAGCCCCAGTCCTCCTGGGGGGATGCTGATGGCAGA